GTGAACGAGCCACCGCGGTATTCTCATTTTCTTGTGCGCAGGTGCTTGGTTCAATCTATTTTGCCACATGCTCTCCAACTAAATTCTTTATTTGGTTATGAGGTCGGAAACCAACACTCACACTACTAAATTATTACCCTTTTCATACTAGGGTTAAGTGCCCAATGTAGTCTTAATCCTCCGTCACAAGGAAAAATAATTTAACGTCCTTTGGGTTCACTTACTCTAGAGGCTACTCCATTCACCCAATTAGTTTTTTTGGTTAAAAAATTTTAATATGGTAAGTCAGGGCTTGAGTGGTCTCTAGTGAGTCAAGTCTCCACATAAATCTATTTTTTTGTCACCTACGTAGTCTATCAGGCTTCATATATGGGGAAGTGTTTGATTTTTCCTACATCGTCTCTCTAAGCCAGCCAAACCTAGTTAATATACTTTGAGTTTGATGTTTTAACATGATATTAGAGTTAAGAATTGGTTGATCTCCAATGGGTTAAGCTTCGCCCCAAGTGCTACCGAGCTTCATATAAAGGGGAGTGTTAGATTTGTCCCACATTATCTTTGTAAGCCATCAAGAATTGAGTGGCTTTCGTGGGTGAAGTCTCTGCCCAAGTATATTTTCTTGCCTCTCATCTCTTTTATTACCTTCACATGTTACCGAGTTGAATTGAATGTGCAAGGTAGACACTTCCACATCATCTCCTTAAATAACTCCATTTTACTTAATGTTTTGGCATTTAATTTCGGCCAAATGAATTACTACTCATTTGATTTTTGCTGGCATTGGCTACAGTACATTTAATGAATTTTTTTTTCATTAAACGAGTATAAAATTGAGTATACCTGAGACAAAAGTGAAGAAAAAAAACCAAATTTAGCCTATTTCCTATCAAAATGCATGCATCATTAGTTGACAAGAGAATGCATGCAGCATCAAAATGCCTATTTCCTATCAAAATGCATGCATCATCAAAATGCCTATTTCCTATCAAAATGCATCCCTCCACAAATTTGTGTAGAGAAAAGAAAAGACAAGAGAAAGAATTTATGAAAAAATTTGGTTCCTTTGTCATTATTCTATTTTATTGGTAAATATGTCACAAATTTTTTTCCCCCGCAAATCGCTTCACAAATTTAATATTTAGAGATGGCTTAAGTCAATGTAATAAGGCGGACTACAAACTTAAAATACCGAGTGGTTCTTCTATTAAGTCAAAGTGTGCATATATTTGCATATTATTTAACGTTGTTTAAATTGTTTTATGAAATTTCCAACTTACAACATTTGATGCAGCAGATAATATTGTATGATTGTCTTCTGTGTATATGTTTATAATATATTCTCGTGTTAGTTCTTCAACACTAATATTCAAGCTTTCCTTGATTTTTTATGAATTGATCATTGGATCATTGGATGGTAATCTTGAGATCAAAACTGCTTGTTCAATTGTTTTTTTTTTTTTTTTTTAAAAAGAAAAAAAAAACTATCATTGAGTATTAAAATATGACTTTTGAAGCCACCACCAAGTGGTCAAACTTGGCGGGTAGAATTATTAAATAATTTTTAAAAAAATATATGATGGGCAGATCTGTAATTTAATATTTGTGCTACATCAATTTTAATGTGGAGCATCTAAATGCATCCTAAAAATATTATTGGAAACTCTATTCTCAAATTTGATTTTTATTCTTATTTTCTTAACACCTCAACCAATTCTGTGTAGAGGGGTTGGTTGCCTCTTGGAGGTGATGGTGACCCTCACTAAAAGAAATTAAAATTTTAAAAATCAAAATTTAAAGACAAAATTATTTTTTAAGAACTAAATATTTTTGTTACAAAAAATATTGTTATTATATTTTTAGCAACGAAAATTAAACATTAGTGATGAATTGTTATTCTTTTGGGACCAAATTTTTTGTCTCAAAAAATAAATCATTTTGAGATCAAATTATTTTGTCTTAAAAGTCTTTTTATTAGTGACATTTTTAAAATTTTGTCGCTAAAAGCCTTGTTTTTGACTTTTCAAAACGATCTTTTAGTGATTATCCTTATAATAATAGAAATTAATCCCTAAATATCATTTGTAACAAAATTTTCATTTTTAAAAATCAAAACATATGATTTTTAAAACTCTTATATGTTGTAGTGCGTGTTCGCAAGGGAAGAAGATAATGACTGAGAATAGATGCAAACAGAAATGAATTTAAAGATTTTTATCCTTATTGATAATTTGACTTAGGACTGTAATGTTATGAAAAAAATTATCAAATTTTTGGTGTCCAACAAATTTTTTGATTTGTATTTAGAGACTACTATTTTAAGGAAAAATTATACTTTGCACCTTTATACTTTGCACCGAATTCAACTTTAGCCCTAGATATGAAATCATGACAATCAACATTCGGCACTTCTGGTCAAATCCTATTTTGGTCCCTATAAAATTGTAACAGTCAACTCCCTGCACTTTTGGTCAAATCTAACTTTGGTCTCTACACAAGTATCAATGTCCCTATTCTGGTACTCCATTATTTAAATCTTAAATAGAATCCTCTTATGTGACAAGAATATGACTACAAAATAAAGGTTCGAGAGGAAAATTATCCCTTTTTCCCACCGACACATATTTTGTCCTACATGCTTAACACGTGAGAGTTATATAATAAAATATACATATGTTCGTATATTGAAAATTGAAACGAAAATGTAAGAAAATAGAGCTTTTGAAATCAAAAAGTTACTCTTACACTTGTCTATCTGTGAAGAAAAAGAATAGATAGAAAAGTTTGTTACTGTGAAAAACAAAATTAAGTGATTCCAATTGATGCAAAATTATAGTTCATCTTCTTAATCATTCACAATATATGCTTTATTTTAGCTTAATACAGTCATAATTTGATGTAAATTTTAAGACAAAGTGTATATTGATGGGAAATGAGAATGATTTTTCTCTCTTATCATCTTTTCGTAGTCATATATTTGTATATGACTGCATTCTGTTGACACTTGTATAACAACCAAAATGGGATTTGACCACAAATATATAGAGTTGACTGTCATGATTTCATATATAGAGACCAAAGTAAGATTTGACCAATAGTATAGGGGATTGATTGTCATGATTTTATATGTAAAGACCAAAGCGAAATTTGGTATAAAATGTAGAGATATAAAGTATAATTTACTATTTTAATGTGTGAATCAAAAGTTGTGGGTCTCTTATCAGGTGAAAAAATTTGAGTTCCATTCCTAACTTCTCCCAAAATCTATATTTGGTAATTACTTTATAAATGCGAAATGTGACAATTACATGTATTGAGAAGTTCGGATGAAATTTCCAACACTTCCGTAATAATAAATAAAAGAAAAAAGAAGAACTATAAATGAATTTGATCTTCTTCATTTTATTTTATAATATTACAAGACACTATTAAAATTCAAAATTAATAACCTATACACCACATCATTATAAATTTCAAGCTTCACAAAGCTATTTTCTTAATTTAGATTTAAAATTTATTAACTTAAATTTTACATAATAGTTGATCATGTAATACGAATACGGAATCTATTACATTCCCAATCATCCAAACTATCGTTCAATCTCGCTTCCGTAATTTCCTTCCTTTCCTAGTTCATCTCCCACTATATTTAATATAGTTTTTTTGTTGTCAATTTTGACTCTCCTTGTCTGACCATTCAAATGGCTGGCGAAAGACTCAATAAAACAAACTCACTAAACTCCAATTAATATCAAGTCCAACCTGCCACCCTGCCAATTCATTAATAACATGCCTGGCTTACCTCCATTTCACCATCTAAATTGGTGAGTTCAGCCTGATCTATTAAACTCATTTTTGGTTATTTTTTAATAATTTAAACTGTTCATATTTTAAGATTTATTGAATGTATTATTCTTGTAAAAAATTATGTCAATTGGATAACGGATATTATTTTTTTGGATTACTTTTTTATGAACTACTAATTTTTTGACTGTCCATTTTTTTTTAAACAAAAGTGATCCAAATACATTGTATTCGTTATCCGATCGACATGATTTTTTACAATAATAATATACTCAATAAATCTTAAAATGTGCACGTTTCTGATTATCAAAAAACTGCCCAAAAGTGAGTTTACTGGACTGAATTAAACCAGATTATCACAGATCTAAAGTGGAGACCATCCGAACCCTAATAAAATATATCGCAAATAAGAGTGAGCTGATATTTTTCTCCCACTAATTCAATCATTTAGTTGTATTGCCATAGTATGACATATTTCTCATTAGTCGGTAATATTATCATAAAGTATGACTTATTATAATCCTTTATTTTAAATAAAAAATATAAAATTTGATTCATAATTATAAAAATATCATTATCATATATTTTTGATTTTTTTCCTTTATAAAAGAATTTACTTGTAAACTATTTTATTTACTCTACTAAGCACGAGCTAGCTCCACGAAATCCATTTATTTAATTTTGAATAAATTAATGGGAGTGACACATGCAATTATAGGTTGGTACTTGTGTACCGTTGACTAGTTCCATCCATCCATGCTAAAACTATAAATTGACGATCATTCTACATACAACTTCCAACAAAAAGAAGAAGAGCACTCGGGATATATTTATTTCGACCCTTTTCTTCTCCTTTGCGCATCAACAATTCAAAAACATGTTGTCTATCGGAGTAGCATTGAGCACGGTTGTGGTGGCATTGGCTACCATATTCATGACTCACTGGGTTCGCAAATGGAGGAACCCCAAATGCGAAAATGGTGTTCTTCCCCCTGGTTCCATGGGATTCCCTCTCATCGGAGAGACCATTCAGCTTCTTATTCCCAACCGATCTTTAGAACTCCATCCCTTCATTTCTAAGCGAGTTCAGAGGTATATATATGATTACTAATTTTTTTAACAATAAATTTGCCAAACCAGTTTTATAATTTAAGTGTAATAATTTGTTTTTTTTTTTTGATTATATGTTGTGTGTGCAGATATGGATCGGTGTTCCGAACTAATGTTGCCGGTAAACAGGTTGTTATAACAACCGACCCGAAATTCAATCATTACATCATTACAGAAGAAGGGAAATCCGTAGAATTGTGGTATTTGGACACGTTTTCGAGCATGTTGCCCATATTTGCAGTAGGCTCTGTTCAGAAGTACATTAGAAGCATAACTTTGACACACTTTGGAGTTGAGGGCATCAGAGTAAATTTGCTACCACAAGTTGAGCAACTCATTCAGAAAACTCTTCGTAATTGGTCCACCAAGCCAATTGTTGATGTCAAGCATGATGCTACTTGTGTACGTCAAAACAAAATTCTCCCAACTAATTAATTTCATCTCTGCTTCATTATTTATCTTTGTACTTTCTGGTGTTTGATGATAACATGTATATGTCTTTGTTCGGACATTGCAGATGATTTTTGATTTCACCTTGAAGCAATTGTATGGCTATGATTGGGAAAAATCATCAGAGATGCGTCTTAGTGACAAGTTTTCCAGTTTATTGCATGGTCTACTGTCCCTTCCTTTGGACATCCCTGGCACTACTTTCCACCAATGCGTCAAGGTAATTACTTACCTAAAAACAAAAAAATTAAACTTGTTCTTGAAGATATATGTATATACTGATACAGTTGCCAATTTTTTTTTATTTTTTTTTGGTATTTAGGACCGCAAGGAATTATTAAGCATGTTGAAGGATATCGTACAACAGAGAATCGATTCCGATAACAAGTTTAGAGGAGACTTCCTTGACAAAGCAATGGAAGACATGAAAACTGAGAAGTTCTTGACGGCCGAATTCCTATCCAATTTGATGTTTGGAGTTTTATTTGGAAACTTTGAGCCAATCTCTTCGGTTATACTATTGACTTTGAAGTTTCTCTCAGAGTATCCTTCAATATTAGAGGAGCTAACAGTACGTTCGCAAACCTACAATTTAATTAACTAACAATTGTTGATCGGTTTTTCAGTCTTGGTTGAACAATGAAAGACTACTCTTCTGCATATATAATTATGGCATTAATTAGTGATCGTTCAATTTTGTCAGGTTGAAAACGAGACAATCGTTAAAAACAGAGCAACTCCAGATTCTCCACTCTCCTGGGAAGAATATAAATCAATGACTTTTACACTAAGTGTACGTTTATATGATCATCCCAATCTGTTTTGTCTTTTACTAGTAAAGGAATAATTAATTAGAATTTTTATCTCTACTTTACTAATGATGTGTATGTCTTGTTATTCTAAAATTGCAGGTTGTGAATGAAGTTCTTAGATTGGGAAATGTAGCACCAGGACTGTTGAGAAAAGTAACAAAAGATATCAGATTCAATGGTAAGTACTGTAATTGTATCACAATGCCACTAACCAGCTTCATCAAATATGACCAAATAATTGAAATTGAAATGTCTATTGGTTAAAAACTCAACAGGATATACAGTTCCAGCTGGTTGGAACATTTTGATTGTTACTTCTGCTCATCAATTGAACCCAGAAGCCTTTAAGGATCCAGTTAAATTCAATCCATCACGCTGGAAGGTGCATGCCGATTCATATCTTGAGCTTATACAATTTTCTTTCCTTTTTTGTCTCCACGAAGGGATGACTTGAGAGTTGTAAATTTTTACTTATTAGTTGTTTTAATCTAATGTTTAATAGTGAGATTTGATCATTAAAAGAAGCCATTGACAAGTACTAATTTTGCTCCTTAATTATTGGATGATGTATAGGACCTTGATCCAAGTGTTATATCAAAGAATTTTATGCCATTTGGAGGAGGGTTGAGACAATGCGCAGGTGCAGATTACGCTAGGGCGTTTGTCTGCACTTTTCTCCATGTATTGGTCACCAAGTATAGGTAATTTTTTCTTTCTTTTTTCCTGTGTTTTCTCGAGTTTGTCAACAAAAGAGTAGTCAATGTTTGTTTAGCTGGTTGGTTTTAACTTAATTTATATTTTGCTTTTGAAAAACAGTTGGACAAAAATTAGGGGAGGAAAAATCGTTCGAAGACCCATTTTGGACTTTGTAGATGGGGTTCATATTAAACTCACAGAAAAGAACGACTGATATCTGATGAAGATCAGCTGCCGTGGACTCAAACATAACAAGCTTTTCTATATATCTTTCAACTAAGAAATTTTGTTATATGCTTTATTTGTTTTTTGTGTTTTTTTGCTGTTGTGTTATTCAAGTTGTAACTAGAGCTTTGGAACAGCTACCTCATGTTTGTGCTGTCAACTATACTCATATGAGTTAACAATCTTTCTTCCTTTGTACTTTAATATACAAATGAATGCTTTGTTCAACCCCGAATGTGCACTCTTATTTTTGTATTCTTCTTGTTGGCCTTCATTGAGCCACTAATTTATGTGTCATCTGGAATTGCCACCGTTGTGCTTCGACAAATAATAAATTACAAAATATACTAAAGTTATTCATTATCTTATAATTGTTGGAATAATCTTTTGTGTACAATAAATAAATTGAAACAAATCAAACAAATAAAATAAATTACGTACCAAATTTATTTTTTACCGAACCGAATGAATACATTGCAGGAAATTCAGCTTTTAGTGGCGTTTAAAAAACGCCGCTAAAAGTGCCAAAACGCCACCAATTCTTTTTGTGACGCTTAGCACCAAACGCCGATGACGCGGCCGTCGCTATAGCTTTATGGCGTTTTAAAAACGTCGTGATATTAGTATAGGCGGCGTTTTTAAAAACGCCGCCAAATGTTGTGTACAATAAATAAATTGAAACAAATCAAACAAATAAAATAAATTACTTACCAAATTTATTTTTTACCGAACCGAATGAATATTTAAAAGATCAAGTCGAGTATGTGACAATTTGTCCTTAAGACAGATTCGGGCCACTACGGTGCTTACGGTTAAGTGACGTCTATCTCTCAGAATACAATGATATTCACAAATTGTAGTAGCACTCCAAATAATTTGTTCGGCGAACAAAAACCTGTGTTCTTACTCTCTGCTTTTTTCCTAAAATTAATATGAAGATTATATCATGCAAGAGAGCAAAAGTAGAAGGAAAATGAAGAATTTTGGATTCAAAAAAATGCTGGAACAGATTTGGTTTTATAGACCCGAACAGGTGTTCAATTCAAATTGGAACAGATATGGAACAAGTGCACTATTTTGAATAGATATAGTTTGAATTTCAAACAAATAATTGCTGGAACTGCTACAGTTAAATAAACTGTCCAGATTTTGAATCTGTTCGGGTTCCAACAGGTCAGAAAACTGTTTGAATCTGTTCGGAAAATTCTGTAGGGAATTCAGACTAAAAAAGGCAAATTTTGGCACAAAATTGGAATTTAATTTCATTAAGAATTTCTGAAAAAAATTCAAATAAATTTTATCCAAAAAATTAATATTAGAACCAACCCGACCCACAACCCACACCCGCGCCCCCGCCTGGCACTGCTCGGCTCGGCCGGCCAGTTGAACGGACGGTGGCAGCGCGCTTGTGTAATGGTTTGAGCTAAGGTTCACACTGTCCATAACTCCTCATTTCTACAAACTTGGGGTGCCCCTTTGGGGGCCCAACCCAGGTTAGTACACCAAGAGTTTATATACCCACAGAAGCTCTTTTAAAGTTTTAATGTGGGACAATCTATTTCCAGAAAACTCACATTTAATTCTTTAAATGTTCATTCCACGAACTCGAAAACGAAGTCAAGTTCCCATTCACCTATAAATGGTTTTGACGTACCGTTTTCACTGTGTGACTTGCCATGCTGCAAGGAACACGTCACCTCTTCAGACCCACCCCAAAAGACATTTGGGACTCACTCAATTTTGGGCTCAAAGTTAGCCGAAAATAAGCCTTATAAAACTAAATTTTCCAACAATCTCCCACATGAATGGAATTTGATGGAGAGAAAATGCAACAACATGATCTAATTACAAAGAGTACAGAAATTGAAAATATTCTGCAAAGAATAGATAACTTTTGACTTTGAACCTTCTCTTGTGAGACACTATCGGATTTATTAGCAAACCAGTGAACATGATGTCTTGAACTATTCAGCCGTTTGTGTAAACGAAGGCAATAGAACTCACACAGCATATTACTAAACACAGTTTAGTTCTTACTATTGTGTTCATTTTTGCCCTGAACAACCTGGTCTTTCATGAGTGTTCTAGAGAATTGTAGCCCTTCACAAATCTCATAGAACCGGCACAGTTCACACTCACATAGGTGATTCTTATGAAGAGTATCCTGCCATACTCCATTAGGTTTACCTAGATATAAGAATCATTAAACGTATTTAACCTAAAACGCTGCAGATATCATAATTTCATCATAGAAATGGGTAGAAGTTTGACTCCCCAGTGATCCTTCTAAGTCATACACAACTCGGTTGTCCCTTTGAACCTAGATCTTGGGATCTCCAGTCAACTAGGTTGGGTTGCCGTTGTGGTAACTCTTATTTAATAGGCTTAAGTCCCATTCCTCTCGATGAATTCTCAACTAACTCTCTTGCTAACCCTTTGGTTATTGGATCCGTTATGTTGTCTCTAGACTTCACATATTCAATGGAAATAATTCCATTAGAGAGTAATTGTCTCACGGTGTTATGTCGACGACGAATGTGTCGTGAGTTATCGTTATACATATAACTCTATACTCTGCCTATTGTTGATTGACTATCACAATGTATGCAAATAGCAGGCACCAGTGTTGGCCTTGGAATATCTTCAAGGAAGTGGGGAAGTCATTCTGCTTCTTCTCCAGCTTTATCTAAAATTATGAATTCTGATTCCATAGTAGACCTAGCTATGCAAGTTTGTTTGGAGAATTTCCAAGATATAACCGCACCACCAAGATTAAAGACATATCTACTGGTGGACTTTGGTCTCTAGTATCCGATATCCAATTTGCATCATAGTATCCTTCAAGTACTGCTGGATATCTAGTATAATTTAGCCCAATATTACAAGTAAATCGGAGATATCTGAGAACCCTTATAATTACTTTCCAGTGTTCTACTTCTAGATTACTCGTATATCTACTTAATTCACTTACTGCATAAGCTATATACGGGTGATTACAATTCATCAAGTACATTAAGCTTCCAATAATTTTGGCATATTCTAATTGAGAAATACTTTCTTATTTGTTCTTAGAAAGAAACAAATTAATATCCACAGGTGTTCTAGCTAGATGATCATCATCTTTACTAAATTTGTCAAGGATTTTCTCAATGTAATGAGATTGTGACAAAGCATAACCTTCTGATGTTTTGGTAATTTTCATACCAAGTATTACATCAGTAATCCCCATGTCCTTCATATCAAAATGTTTATTCAACATTTTCTTGGTAGTTTTAATCATATCATTATTATAACCTATGATGAGCATATTATCCACATAAAGACATACAATGACATAACCTTTGTCTGTGTTTTTAATATAAACACATTTGTCACACTCATTAATTTTAAATCCATTTGACATCATTGCCTTGTCAAATTTCTCATGCCATTGCTTTGGCGCTTGTTTTAAACCATATAATGATTTAACCAATTTACACACTTTTTTTTCTTTTCCTGGCACAGAAAATCTTTCTGGTTGTTCCATATAAATTTCTTCATCTAACTCACCATTTAAGAAAGCGGTTTTCACATCCATTTGATAAATTTCTAGATTATACAAAAATGCAATAGCAATTAACATCCTAATGCATGTTATTCTAGTAACCGGTGAGTATGTGTTGAAGTAATCAAGACCTTCTTTTTGTCTATACCCTTTGACCACAAGTCTTGCCTTGTATTTGTTAATTGATCCATCCGCTTTCATTTTTCTTTTGAAAATCCACTTATACCCAAGAGGTTTACAACCTGGTGGTAAGTCCACTAATTCGCAAGTGTGATTTTACAAGATGGATTCAACTTCACTATTGACAGCTTCTTTCCATAAAGGAGTCTCAAGACTGGACATAACTTTTTTAAAAGTTAAAGGCTCATTTTCTAACAAAATAGTTAGAAAATATGGAGCAATAGATTTTGAGGTTCTAGCACATTTACTACGCCTAGGTTCATCTTCCTCGTCTTGATCTATCTCTTGCTCTTGTTCTTGATCATGTTCCTGATCTTGACTAGTAATAGCATCATGAGATCTTTTGTTAGTACTAGTCTCTTGTCCAGTTTTATTCAGAAACACATGTTCAAAGAAAGATGTATTCCGAGATTCAATGATAGTATTTACATGCATTTTAGAATATTCTGATTTATGAATCAAAAACCGATATGCACTACTATTCTTAGCATAACCAATGAAAATGCAATCAATGGTTTTAGGACCTATCTTAGCCTTTTTAGGATTAGGAATAGTCACTTTAGCCAAACACCCCCACACTTTTATGTATTTGTAGGATGGTACTCTCCCATGCTACATTTCATAAGATGTTTGATTCACTTTCTTCCGGGGTACTTTATTAAGTATATAATTAGCAGAAAGAATTGTTTCCCCCACAAGTTCTGAGATAATCCAGAACTTATTAATGTGGCATTCATCATTTCTTTTAAAGTCCTATTTTTCCTTTCAGCAATTCCATTTTCCTGAGGTAAGTAAGGAGCGGTGGTTTGATGAATTATTCCATGTTCTTTATAAAATTTACTAAAAGGTGATTTATATTCACCACCTCTATCACTTCTAAGTTTCTTAATTTTCTTACCAAGTTGATTTTCAACTTCATTCTTATATTGGATGAAAGTTTCCAAAGTTTCATCATTTGTTTGAATTAAATAAACATAACTATATCTAGTATAGCCATCTATAAAAGTGATAAAATACTTTTTCTCACCTTTAACTTGAATTGATTTAAAATCACAAATGTCACTATGAATTAATTCAAGTGGTTCCGTGCTTCTTTCAATTGAATGAAAAGGAATTTTGGATAATTTTGCCTCAACGCAAATTTTACATTTATGATTTGAATCAATGTTAAATTTAGGTAAACATTCCATATTAATTAATCTACGCAAAGATCCATAATTAACATGTCCAAATCTACCATGTCATAAATTTGAAGACTTAAGCAAGTAAGAAGAAGATGTATTTTTATTAATAACAGAGGGTACAACAGCCATTACATTCATCTTAAAAGGGCCATCAGACATGTAACATTTTCATACATACATCTCATTCTTAGTAAATACAAATTTGTCACTTTCAAAAACTAACATAAACCCATTTTTACTTAACAAAGATCCGAAAACAAAATTCTTGCGAATGTCCGTACATACAGTACATTGTTGAGAGTAAGTTCTTTTCTAGATGT